CTGTCAGCGCCACCCGCTCCTGCCTCTCCGCCATCGCCCGCGAGAAAACCCCCGAGCCCGCCGCGGGTGCTGCTGCTGCTCCCAGCTTTGGGAAGCTGTCTGGGAAGGCCAAGGACAAGCTGAAGGTAGGGAGGGGGATGTGTGGAAGGATGGCTCGACTTGAATTGTGTCTACTGCTGCTGCACTGCCTGTAGCCACCCTCGCAGTCCGAATTTGCACGTTCCTCCCTTCTCGTCTTTTTCTTTCCTCTTCTCCACTTTTAATATATCTTTCGACTGCGCGTGTCCTCTGCCCATCACACAGGGCGCTCAGGACAGCTCGCTGCCGTACCAGAAGGAGGGCGCGGTGGTGCTGATAGCCGGGATATTCTTCTGCCTGATCAACTTCGCGCGGCACTGCACGTGGGTGACGTCGGAGGCATACTCGTCACCGTCCATTGTGCTCATGGCCCGCCAGCACAACGGCGACCGTGTCATCTTTGATGACTTCCGTGAGGCCTACTTTTGGCTCAAACACAACACCAAGCCCGATGCTAAGGTGCGTGTGTGTTGGGTGCTGGGTTGGGGTTGAGCGGGTGAGGGTGTTAGTGGGTGAGACTGCTGAGGTGCCTCGCAGGTCACCTTTGATGACTTCCGTGAGGCCTACTTCTGGCTCAAACACAACACCAAGCCCGATGCTAAGGTATGTGTGTGGTGGGTTGGATGGGGGGTTTGGATTGGTGGTGTGTCTGACTGTTGAGGTGCCTCAGCAGTCACCTTTGATGACTTCCGTGAGGCCTACTTCTGGCTCAAACACAACACCAAGCCCGATGCCAAGGTGCATGTGTGTGGGGTGCTGGGTTGGGGTTGAGCGGGTGAGGGTGTTAGTGGGTGAGACTGCTTAGGCGCCTCGAAGGTCATCTTTGATGACTTCCGTGAGGCCTACTTCTGGCTCAAACACAACACCAAGCCCGATGTCAAGGTGCGTGGGGGCCTGGGAACGAGTGCGTGGAGATGCATAACTGGGAGGTCCCATTAGTCCCCCTATGTGTCTCGTCACTTCCCCGGATTCCTCATGCCTCTTGTGTCAAGATCATGGTGATGACAAACCTCACGAGAGTCAACTCAAGAGACGTTTTTCTTCCCTGGCCCCTCTTTTTCCCCTCTCCTCTTTCCCCTCCCCCCTCCCCCCTTCTTTTCATCCCTCCAGGTGATGTCGTGGTGGGACTACGGGTATCAGATCACAGCAATGGCGAATCGAACAGTCATCGTGGACAACAACACGTGGAACAACACTCACATCGCCACCTGCCCTCCCTCCCTCCATGCTACATTCCCTCTCCCCACCCTCCCTTTTCTCCCTTCCAGGTGATGTCGTGGTGGGACTACGGGTATCAGATCACAGCAATGGCGAACCGCACAGTCATAGTGGACAACAACACGTGGAACAACACGCACATCGCCACTGTGGGGCGTGCCATGGCTTCGTACGAGGAGCAGGCGTATGATATCATGCAGCAGCTGGACGTTGATTACGTGCTCGTGGTGTTCGGAGGAGTGACTGGGTACTCGTCTGACGATATCAACAAGTGAGTGGGCTGTGCTATGCTCTGTGTGCTGTTGGGTGCGGCTCGCCATGCCATGGTGTGTGCTTTCCTACGAGGAGCAAGCAGCAGCAGCAGCAGCAGCAGCTGGACGTTGATTACGTGCTCGTGGTGTTCGGAGGATTGACTGGGTACTCGTCCGATGATATTAACAAGTGAGCTGCTGGGTAGGGGTTGAGAGGGTTGGGCTGCAGTGCTTGCCTCTGTGGTACGAGGAGCAGGCGTACGGCATCATGCAGCGGCTGGACGTTGATTACGTGCTCGTGGTGTTCGGTGGAGTGATTGGGTACTCGTCCGATGACATCAACAAGTGAGTTCCCTTGTTAGTCATCGCGAGACAGAACGTCTCCCTGTGGCTTGGCGTACGGCATCATGCAGCAAGTGGACGTGGATTACGTGCTCGTGGTGTTTAGTCACGGGGTATTCGTCTGATGATACCAACAAGTGAGTTCATTTCTTAGTAGTCAATGCGAGACACATTGTCTGCCTGTAGCTTGGTGAACGAGGAACAGGCGTATGGCATCATGCAGCAATTGGACCTTAATTACGTGCTCGTGGTGTTCGGTGGGGTCACGGGGCATTCTTCAGACGATATCAACAAGTGAGCCTCTCATTGACTTTTCAGCTGCTCCATGCCGTGCTGTATGGGCAGCAGCCACATGTGTCATCTTTGTGGACGGTGCGCATTGGGCGGTGAGCGTTGAAGGGGGGCTGTTCCCGGACATGAAGGAGCTTCTCTCCTCCTTCCCCCCTCCCATACCTTCCCCCGCGCCCCCTCCTCTCACCCCCACCCACCGTCGCAGGTTCCTTTGGATGGTGCACATTGGAGGGGGTGTGTTCCCGGACAGAAAGGAACTCTAACTCCCTTCCCTTCTCCGCACCTCCTTTCCCCCTTCCCTCTCCCCCCTTGCTTTCCCCCTCCCTTCACTCTCCCCTCGCAGGTTCCTGTGGATGGTGCGAATTGGAGGGGGTGTGTTCCCAGACATAAAGGAGCCGGACTACCTCAACAACGGGGACTATCGCACTGACGCCAGTGGCTCGCCCAAGATGCTCAACTGCCTCATGTGAGTGCTGGGAACCATGTGCGGTGCTGCCTCATGTGAGCCTTGAAACGTTGTTTTAACACAGTCTCACCTTAGCGTGCGCCACTGAACACCCACTGAACACCATGCGCTACGTGCGCCAAGTGTCCTGTCCCATGCTCATGACTCCTCACTGCGTTATTACTGCCTCCACCTCACTACTCTTTCCTTTGCCCTGTGAAACTCGTCCGACCCTTATTCTGCTGCTCGTGCGCATTCCTGCTGCTCTGTCACATGGCCGCTAACGAGTCTCTCTGTTTCTGCCGACCCTCCCCATGTCTTGTTCGATGCCACCCATGTGCTCCATTGGGGATGGGTTTGGATGCGGTGCTGCATGGTACTTGGCGGCATGGGGTGTTGGCTGTGTCTGTCTGTGTGTATGTGTGTCATGGCAGGTATAAGATGTGCTACTACCGCTTTGGCGAGCTGCAAACGGAATATGGCAAGCCAACCGGGTGAGTGAGAGGGCAGGCAGGGCAAGGGTGTGATTGAGGAGGTAGCACGAAATCCCTGCTGCTTCGACCTACACACCTTGTGCACTTGAAAGCGCATGGAGGGGGTTTTTTAGTCGACTCAAAAATCGACTCATCACACCTTGTGCACTTGAAAGCGCATGGAGGGGGTTTTGAAGTCGACTTAAAAATCGACTCATCACACCTTGTGCACTTGAAAGCGCATGGAGGGGGTATTTAAGTCGACTTAAAAATCGACTCATCACACCTTGTGCACTTGAAAGCGCATGGAGGGGGTATTTAAGTCGACTTAAAAATCGACTCATCACACCTTGTGCACTTGAAAGCGCATGGAAGGGGTTTTTAAGTCGACTTAAAAATCGACTCATCACACCTTGTGCACTTGAAAGCGCATGGAAGGGGTTTTTAAGTCGACTTAAAAATCGACTCATCACACCATGTGCACTTGAAACCGCATGGAGGGGGACCCCAGACCTTAAGATTGTGCTGTGACCAAAACTTCCTTCCACCTTCCCTCTCTCCCTTTCAACCCACGCAGGTGGGACCGGGCACGTGGGTACGAGGTAGGCAACAAGGACATAGAGCTGGAGTACATAGAGGAGCCACTGAGTCTGCCCACTGCAACCCCCTCTCACCGCCCTCCTTGCTCTGGTTGTTGCCTTCACCTTGCGCAGGTGGGATCGTGCACGCGGGTACGAGATAGGCAACAAGGACATAGAGCTGGAGTACATAGAGGAGGCACTGAGTCTGCCCACTCTTTCCCCCCTCTCACCGCCCTCTTTGCTCTAACTGTCCCTTCCTCCCACACAGGTGGGACCGGGCACGCGGGTACGAGATAGGCAACAAGGACATAGAGCTGGAGTACATAGAGGAGGCGTTCACGTCGGCCAACTGGATCGTGCGCATCTACCGCGTCAAACAGCCCGACAACCGCTGGTAGCACTGCCCGCCCACGCACGCCCTGCTGGGGCCGCTGGGACAGCGGCAAGAGCACAGGAACAGGGGGCAGCAGCAGAGCAGGGGATTTGTGGTGGCAGGGGATGTGGCGGCAGGCACAGGCAGGCACAGGCAGGCACAGGCAGGCACGGGCAGGCACAGGCAGGCACAGGCAGGCACGGGCAGGCACAGGCAGGCACAGGCAGGCACAGGCAGGCACAGGCAGGCACGGGCAGGCACAGGCAGGCACAGGCAGGCACGGGCAGGCACAGGCAGGCACAGGCAGGCACGGGCAGGCACGGGCAGGCACAGGCAGGCACAGGGACCCGAAAACAGGTGGTGGTTGAGGGTATTGAACTCGGCATTCCCTGGTGGTGGGGGGGGGGGTGAGGAGGATAGGGTGGGTGATCAACCAGCCAGGGAAAGCAATCAGCTAAGCAACCAGCTGGTCGCAGCAGCCTGGAGGGGAAAGCCTCTCCCACTACTGTCCCTCCCTGCTTGCCATCTGATCAGGGTTGACCCGACACTAGGATAGATTTCATGTCTGCCCGTTCCGTGCGTATCAGCAGGGGGCAGTGCTGGAGTGGAAACAATAGGTGAGGCACCTTGTTGGGTTGGGATGTGCTGTTGCAGGTGTTACCATATCTTCTGCTGTCCACATGGCACGGCAGGATTGTGTTGCTAGGGGGTGGCCTTCCAGCTTTTCAGCGTAGCCCATGTTGAGAGTGATTTGATTTTACTAATGCACTGTGCGACATGTCACACGAATGTTGTTTCGAATACAGATTGTCGAGACTGCCCATTCAAAGGATTCACTAAGAAGACATACAAACAGGGAATGCATCGCAAGATGAGGTATTATAGTGGGCAGTACCCACCCACCTCCACTGCTTGACCTTGCACCCCTCTGCTTCATCCTTAAGCCTCTCAACTTTCACCCTGTGCTGCTCCCCCTGAACCCATGCTTCCCGCTTCCTCTTCTAGTCCTTCTGCCTCTGCTGTCTGCCCTTGTGCTTGCTGCAAGCGATTGGAAATGGCAAGAGCGAGAGCATAGGCCTGCTTGCGCTTCACTCTCAGTGTCTCTGCTGCCATCCTTGCAGCCTTCACAGGGACAGGGGGAGGGGAAGGTTCATGTACACCAGCAGCACCCAAGCACCAGCAGTGCACCACAAAGAATGGGAGGGGCGGTCAGGACGAGCGTGGTTGAGGAGTGCGGTTTTGCAGCGTTGAAATGGAATCCTGCGGAATAAGGTGAAGCTGCCTCAAAGAACAGCTTGTGAACTAACCTGGGAGGGGGGTGTGCCGTCCTGAATCAGCTTCTCAAGGTAAGCTGTCACTTCCTCCTCCCCTGTCTGCTGTGATGCGTCCAGGTCCTTTCGGGGCAGCCCGTCAATTACCAGGGTGAATTCCCCTTTTGTCCCGCGAGCCGTGAACTCTGCAAGTGCTTCTGAGAGCGTCCCTCGCCACAGCTGAGCAAACGGAATATTGCGGGCAGGATTTGGATAAGACAAACAGAACAAATTGACTTGAAGACAGTGCGATTGAGTATATGAGAGAATGATACGGTATGTGCATGTGGGAAAAAAGAAGGAGAAATCATGGAGCATGAGTCTCATACATTAATAGATGTGCTTGTTTTGCAAGAATCACCGAACCTCTTCGTGCAGCTTCGTGAGTTCCCGAGCCACGAGGCAGGGTCGGTCCGGGCCAAAAGCGTGGATGCAGTGGGAGAGCGAGGAGAGCAGCTTGTGCGGCGCCACAAACAGCACCTGCATTGCCTCCCCCTCCGCTGCCTCCTGCAGCCGACGCTGCCGCACCGCCGACCGCTCTGGGAGGAACCCCACTGGACGGGCAAGGCAATGAAGAAGGAGGCATGGAAATTGGAAGACTTTTGAGTCGACTCAAAAGTGCCTCCCCCTGCACTGCTTCCTCCAGCTGACGCTGCAGCACTGCCGATCGCTCTGGGAGGAACCCCACTGGACGGGCAAGGCAGTGAAGAAGGAGGCATGGAAATTGGAAGAGAGCAGCTTGTGCGATGCCAAAGTGTGCTGCAACGTGAAGAGACAAAGCAGAGCATGACAGCAGAACACGGAGATCAGGTCACCCACGCGAGCCTTGTCACGCACAGAAGGTGAAGCCGTTGGTGAGAAAGCCAGCAGCCGCAACCGCAGTGGTGGCAGCGGACGGGCCGGGAATCACGCTGACGGGGACGGCTGACTCAGCGCACGCGGCGACCAGGTCAGCACCGGGATCGCTGACGCCTGGCATGCCTGCGTCAGACACGAGCGCAAGCGATTGGCCGGCTCGCATTCGACCAATGAGAGCATCTCGACGAGCTGTGGCATTGAAGGCATGATAACTCATCTGCACATTGTACGGTGCAGAGGGATGAAGGTAAGTGGTAGCTCATCTGAGGCAAGTGAGAACGTTGTAACAGGAAGCAGAGAGGAATGAATGGAGGATGTGCTTGTCATAAAGTGGATGGAATCATGAAGCAAAGGAAAAAGGTGCATGGGCAGCGCAGAAGCACACCATGGGAGTGGTGATGCCGTAGAAGCGCAGCAGCTTGACGGAGCGGCGCGTGTCCTCTGCTAGAATGAGGTCGGCACATCGCAGCACCCTCAACGCCCTGGTGGGGGGACAGGAATTGGTAGAGTGTTGGGTTGTTGTGTGGTGCTGTGGGATTACATTGGGGATGGTTGGTTAGTTGGGGAAGGCCAGATAGATTTGTAGATCATGTAGGAGTTACCTGGATGGTAACCGCACCCACCTGATCGTAACATCTTCGAGGTTACCAATAGGGGTTCCCACCAGGTACAGTCCAGGGGTCAACTGCAACTGCATGGTCGCATCGTGGGTGAAGGGGGGAAGAGGGAAGGGGATGAGGGTGTGGGGAGGGGAAAAGAGGTACAGCGGAAAGATTCAGGGGAGGAAGGTGGGGATTTGGAAGAGGCATGGAGATCGGGCAGTGAAGTCAGGGAGGCTGGGAGAATAGGACATGACGGCAGGTAGCATGGCACACTGCAAGCAAGGCTGCTAGTCAGGTGCACACGCAGCTCAACAACTGTTCCTAGGAACCGTTTGGAACCAAGAGAAGCCATTAGAAACCACGCAAATCGAGTGGTACCTTGTCCGGCCACTTGCACATGTCCTCGTTATAGAACCATTCGTTACTGCCTTCGCCATCCTCTACCGCTACCTCCTCTTCCCAAGCTCCTTCCTCTTCTCTGTCCCCCTTCAACATCAGCTCCGTGCCGCCTGACCCTGTGTCGCCTCCACTCGTGTCGCCGCCCGTTGCGCTGCGCCTCTCAGCTTGCTCGCTATAGGTCTCGCCTTCATCAGCTGTCGTCCCCTCAACCGGGAGAGAATCGCGTCGCGGGATTCCTCCAGCCATTACGTCACGCTGCGCACATCCCCTAAACTGCCCTTCTAGGCCCGCGTACAGCCCGCGAGTGCAAAGAAAGGCACTTCTCCGTTGCCCACACTGCCTTGCATTCCATGGCTGCTTCGGATCCCCTTCACATGGATTTATCCGCCCGTGTTTCCCGGTCACATTCGCGAATTCTCGAAAAGCAAGCGAATTCTTATACGATCCTTGTTTCATTCTCCACTGGGAAAACGGGGAGACTCTGCGAGTCAGCTTTCCCACGGCCCGTAAAAGTATCAGTCTGCCCGCAGGATGCGCTGCAGCCATGGCCCTTCACCGTCAACAGTTCAGAAGCGAAGGCAAGTCGGAGAATGTATCTTGCGGCGGACGTTACGACAACTCGTCAGGTGGACCTTCGAGGTTCAGTAAATTCTCGCTTTCCGCACAATCCGCCATGAAGTGCGGCGCGTGTTGTGGGAAATGTAATGTGCTGCTCATGCCATCGAAAGATTTTCGACAATTAGACTGCTGACCAGTTATGCCAATTATGGTAATTATGTACATTGTTACGAAACGTGAGACCCTACAAATAGATACAAAACTGGAGCCTAATTGAGCGGCACTTTTTTCTATCGCGGATGGACCACGCAGCCCTTGAAACGCGTGGAGCAACTTGAGGCATGTACGCTTTTTTTCGCCAAGAATAATCGCGAACGCGCGAAGGTTTTAGGGCCGAATCGGCTCACAAATCAGAAACATGGCCCCGTCAGTCGCACGTCTGATGGCTTGCGATGATTCTGTAGAGTCGGAACACGAGTCGCAGAGGTCCATGATTCGCCAATCCCATCTCCGCTCTACCCTAGCAGAAATTTGCGACTCCCCGTTTAGCTCACAACTGCGGCACCGACTCCTATAGTCACTGTTCATGGTGTCCATAATTCGCATGGCATCGCAATTCCTTCCTGCGACTGGATTGTCCAAATTCGTCGCGTCGTCGTGAATCGTGATGAAATGGCTGCTGCAGCCCATGTATTCGAACCGAACTTGGTGACCAGATTCGCAAATCTCGCACGCTGCACACACTCACGCACAGCCCAGCGAGGAGGACGATTCGTCAGGCCCTCGCGAAGTCCAGTGATCGGTCGTGCCGAATGAGGCAGACGAGGCGCGTGTCGCTCAACCACAACCACCCGTCGCAACGACTTTGTCCATTTCCACCGCAATTCTGCGCCGCGAATGTCATTTGCCTTCCTTCCCTCCCCTCGCCCTTGGCTTTCATCATTCAGCCCTCCGCCTGCGGAATCACACTCACCATTCAAAAGCCGACGAGCAAGCTCTTCTGCTCCCCCATTGTCAAGCAAGCCAACCAGTAGTGCAGTTGTCCTTATCGTAGGGGACCAGCGGCAGCAACAAAACGCACCTCTTACTTCCCGAACGGCCTCAAACTGTTCGCTTCTGCTGCTACTAGAAGTCGTCGCCGCAGGAACGTAGCTTGAAACCCGCATTCGCGTACGAGCTTCTGTAATATTATTCTCGGCTCAGCACCTCCCGTTTCGCTGCGCATTCATCAACAACTGGGGCCAGAATGGTGCAGATCAAAGAATTGTAAGATATTGTTTTATTCGTCATGCGCGCTTACCCTCATTATAATCGCTGTTCCGCGCGTCGCAAGTGATTCTCATCTATGCAAAAAAGCAATGCTCGTTCTTTCAAAGTTTACTTCTCGGATCTCCCACTTGAATGACGCTCTCGTAAATTCGTGCGAGATCTGACTTGCCTTTTCTCTGCTTTTGTTTCTTGTTTTCATTTTCCTTTTTTTTGCGTGGTCGCGGCTTCCTCCCTCGCAATTTTCGACGATGTCATCGTGTCAATGGCAACGGCTGCCGTGCGCGCGTCTCTCGTCTCTCATCACTTGTCTCTTCGTCGTTGATCGCGTGTCGTCCATCATCAGCCGCATCACCATGCCCTTTTCCCTCGACGAGGTACGCCCACGCCAACCATCAACTTGTGCCTCCTTTCCCGTCCCGTCAATTACAACTTACACCGCAACGAAGAAAGTCGAAGATTTCTCCTTTCCGTACGGTTACGGTCACCGTACCGCCAAGCTCATCTTACCTCACAACAATCCTCCTTCCTCCCTCCCTCGCCGCTCCCAACCAATCGACTGTGTCAGTGCTACCCGGACCTGGCGCGCACGATTACGCATGAAACCGCCATTTGCTCACCTTTCCCCATCTCATCCTTCCCTTTTCCCCTCGCGTTTTCTCCTTTATCAAATGTGACAGTATCGGGTGGGGCAGACGTACATGCGGTCGCGCATGCAGATGGAGAACACCAAGGGGCGGGAGGGTATCGAGGTGATCGCAAGCGAGCCGTTCAAAGACGACGTTTTGGGCGAGGGGCATTTTTCGCACGTCGTCTATCACTTCCAAAGCCGCGCGCCCGCGTGGATCCGCGCGCTCGCTCCGGTAGAGGCGCTGCGGCTTGAAGAAAAGAACTGGAACGCGTTTCCACGATGCCGCACGGAAATTAGCGTAAGCCATCAGAGGGAAAGTGCGAGGGGGAGGGGGGCCGGAATAATGAACCAAAGCAACGTCTCAAGGGAGACGTGGAAGCTTTTTCTGCGCGCTGATTGCTCTCGTACCACGTTACTGACCGTGCTCCACCTCTCTTGTCTTTCTCGTTCGTTACAGTGTCCGTACTTCTCCAACTACAAGATCACCACCGACTCGTTTCACGTCGCCGACCGTGGAGAATCGGAGAACGTGAGTTTCGCACACACTGTCGCAAGGTTTTTCGCTTGCTATGGGAAATGTCAAGTTTGCCAGTCGCAGTGGCTCGAATTGAACTTGTCGTTGTAGGATGAAGAGCACTGAAACATCCCAGAATGTTCTCCGTATTTCTTTGCTTTTTACCTTCGAGTGCGACCTGCACGCTGACCGTCTTGGTCGTCACATCCAATTCGTCTCGTCGCATCCCCATTCGCGTCGCCCGCCAGGCGTTGAATCTGTCGGATGCTGAGCTGGAGCTGCGCAAGGTGGACCATGTGGACATCGCGTCGCCCGACAGGGACATGTGGTCGCGAACCATCGCGCGGAAGCGCACCGACCCCTCCAAGATCGCCCTGCTCAAACTCAACCGCGGCCCGCTCGCCCCCGGATGGCAGGTAAGTGAAGCGAATAAGCAGTGACGATGTATTGTGGTAACCAGACAGCAGCAGCATTCTGCCGATTTGTATCCTGAAGGCCCACCCGCTGCTTCAGTTCGTTTCAATTAGGGTCTGACTTCCTCGTTAATTCACGTTCTTTTTGAGAATGTCGTCAGCTCAAATTTGGTCGTGGTTTCTTCCCTGTTTCCGAGTGCAGAAGACGTGCCAGCCTGTAATGACGGTCTACAAGGTGGTACACGTGGACGCGCCCTACTGGGGAATCGGCAGACAGATGGAGCTCGCCACTATTGCGGTGAGTGCTCTCGTGAGAAGTTATACTAGCTATTGCCGTCCTTGCTTGGTGTTATAACTCTGTAGGAGTAAAACACTGGAAGCCCGCTTTAACCCTAATGAATCTCCATCCCACCCTTCCCACCCCCCTTTCTCCCTCCCCGGACTCCTTTTTTTCGATTGCAGGCGCAACGTGCGCTTTACCTGGAGGCGCACAGGAAGTGCTACGGGTGGGCAGACGACTGGTGTTCACTGACTGTTGCTGATGCACGGAGGATAGAGCAGGAGAACATCGACAAAATGCGTAAGGTGAGTACTGGTGGTACTGTTACAACACGTGCTACAGGCTGGCTGGTATTGATGAAAAACATGACCATTCTTCATGTTCACATAATACCAGAAGGCTCTTTTATTATCATGCTAACTGTAACTTCATCCGTGTACTCATCCCACCCTTTGCCCACAGAGCCTTTCCTTGAGTGACCGCTTTGATGAAGAAGCTCTTAGCGAGTCAACAGAGGAGGGGGAGGAGGAGGAGCAAGTGGAGGAAGAAGGCATGATTAACTCGGTGGCACCCCTGCCTGCCGTTGCTTCTGTGGCTGCATAATTCCAGTCATGGACAAAATAAAGTCTGCATTGCTGCAAAGAGCATTGCATTACAGCAGTGGCTGGGTGGTGACTGCACAATTGTTCTTGGGTAGTAGGTGCATGTCAGAATAATATATATTTCTATATATTGTTCTATAACTGCCTGTAGTGTAGAATACTGTAGTCATATAACTTTCTGATTGGTGATTCTTACCTATTTGTACTGCTCGCTCTATAGTGAACATCCTCTTTTGGCAAATCTCTCGATCCCTTCCTCTCATAACTCTCGTTCTACCCTCAACCCAAGTCCTAAGTCAACTTAGGCTTTTAACATGGTATCAGAGCATGCTTCGATCCTAGCCAGTGGTTTTTTTTTTTGTAATGGCACCCTCCGTTGCGGCCTGCGTCGTCCCGCTCGTTCGCCCTACCCGTCGCGCGCTTGTTGCTGTAAAAGTCGCGACATTCGCGACGAAGGGCGCGGCTGTCGTGGCGACGAGCTGGGCGGCCGTCGCGCTGGCTCCGCCCGTCGTTTGCGGCCATGCCGCCCCGTCGCCGTTTCGTCGCACCTCCGTTCCGGCCCCCTGTCCCGCCCGTCGCGCCCGTGCAACTGTCCCCGCCCTCCCTCCCACCGGCCCCGCTACAGCTGCCGCGAGCGCTCCTGCTGTGAGGGAATGTCGTGAGGGTGGTGGGCAGTGGAGGAAAAGTGGCGGCGGTGGCGGACAGTGGGGGAGGTGGCGTGACGGGGTGACCGCTGTGAGACGCCAGCAGCGCCTGCCGTCGCCCTTTATCGCCCCATGCGCGACTGTCGCTGTGGGGGGGAGGGTGCAGGGGTGGCGGGAGTGTACCCGCAGGAACCAGCCGCCGCCCTCCTCTCTCCTCTCTCTCCCTGCAGCGCCTGTCGCTATGGGGGAAGGGGGGGAGTGTGAGGGGGTGGCGAGAGACATTCTGCCAAGCCAGCAGCCGCCCTTCCTCCTCTCTCTCTCTCACTGTCACGCGTGCCGCTGTGGGGGGGAGGGTGAGAGAGGGTGGCGGAAGACAGCCGGGTATTTGCTGCTGCCGCCCGCTGCTACTGTGGCACCTCCAGCTGTCGCCCCTGTCGCCACCTGCCCTGTTTTCTGTTTTCTGCTGCTGGGGCCTGCAGGTGCTGCCGTCGAGCCGCTGCTGTCCTGCTGCTTGTTGCAGCCACAGAGCCTGCTCCTCAGGCGACCTG